GTGTCGAGTAGCTCTGAAAACAGAGACAGCCTCCTCCCCCCGGTGTAACAGGGCAAAAGGGCTCTGTCCCTTGGCATTTTCAGTGCGGCCAAACCACCTGCAAAGTTGCATCCTTAACCCCTTTCCAAACGCATGCAAGGGTTTCTAGTCAGTGCAGCCGATTGCAGGCAGGAGTGAATTGCTGTCATGCAGATTGTTTGAAAGCATAATCTTAAAATACTTCACGATGAGACGGAGCGTTACTAGTGCAATGAGGCAAGGTAGCCTAAGGCTTTAGCATGGATTAGATTAACAAGAATGTATGAGGATTGGGCTAGACAGCGTCGGGGAGGTGTGATTCCCAGCTCAATTAAATAGCCGATTGCAGGCAGGAGTGAATTGCTGTCATGCAGATTGTTTGAAAGCATAATCTTAAAATACTTCACGATGAGACGGAGCGTTACTAGTGCAATGAGGCAAGGTAGCCTAAGGCTTTAGCATGGATTAGATTAACAAGAATGTATGAGGATTGGGCTAGACAGCGTCGGGGAGGTGTGATTCCCAGCTCAATTAAATACACGCATGCTAGCTCTGCTCAAGGTGCTGCTTACGAGCATAGTGGCCACAGTGGCATGGGTGATGGCTTGGGCTGGCCACCAACGTTCCCTCCATTTTTTTCCCATCCATGTGTGGAATAATTTTATGTGGACTGAGGCATGTGTGAATGTGCACCACCAATAGAAACACAGGCTGCCAGGTGCTGCTAGCAGTGGGCACTCTCCAGATCAGATGGGTGGCCTTTGAATCTCTCCCGGGTGGCCACCCAAGCGCACAGCGTAGTGGGAACCCTGCTGGCCACCCAAGTGTAATCTGGCCCTAACTCCTCCTAGTTTATTCACCGAAAGTATTTGCCAGATTTGACCTGCGTTTGCAAAGAGTTTCAGTTGCCCCCGAACAGCATTTTTCCTCCTGCAAATTCAAGTGAAAAGTGGCTGTGGGATAAATGCCCGGAAGATTGTGAGGTGCCGTGGTGGGGGCATCTGCCCTGCACTGGCTAAAGAAGGGTTAAATGCAGCCCTGGGTGAGGGCTGGGCTGTGGCAGATACAGCCAATCGGGGCCCAGCTGTAGCTGTATTAATAAGGGCTCCGGCTGGGGCAGAGACTCACTTGCTCTTGCTCCAGTTGTGCCTGGGAAACTAGAGGCTTCCTGACACAGAGCAGGGCTGGGGGAAGGCAGGCAGGGCTGGGGAGCTCTGGCCAGGCAAGCTCCCAGGCTGAGGCCTTGCTCTCAAGGCCTGAGGGGACTAGGGGTGCAGGGAGGCAGCCAGGGCAGCAGAAGGCAGCAGGTCCAGACCCCTCGCCAATGAGGAGTGGCCATGCCAGACTGCAGTTTGCCCCTGAGGCTGGGGCTAGATGATGACTGGCCATGGGGTACTGAGGCAAAGTGGGCGTAGGGGGCTGGGGGTTCCCTGAAGGGGAGACCCCAGAGTATGGGGCACTGTGGTAGGGTCCTAACACAAGATGATGGACAATAACAGGTAACAGTAGGTGAGACACTGGCCGAAAGGGGGCGCTCCAGGCTGAAATAAGCTAATTCCCAAGTGACCAGCAGGAGGCGGCATGGTGGTGAGTCACGCCCTGTTATAGCTGCTCAGATACTGTGGAGATGGGGGCCATGTAGAAACCCTTAGCTGGATACACGTGTTGGGCTTATAAATTGCTACCTCACTATTGCTACTAGTGCAAGTGCAGCAGTCCTGAAGATGCTGGGAACTGCCCGCAAGCACCTTCTGCATCTTGATACAGTGTGGTCCCATCATTACAAGTATTTTATTTCCATCCCTTCCCTATCCAGCTAGTGCTGTGACTGGGACTGAGTGGCGCAAGCCGTCAGCCAGGCATTAACTGGAAGCATAAAAATTGATTTGATCTCGGCTTCCCCCAGTTAATGAACAGGGCTGGAGTTGGGAGGTGGGAGTCAAGCCCAGCCTCTCCACTAATGCCCTCTGTGGTTCAGCATACCCGGACAGCTGCAAGGCTCTGCCGAGACGTGGGAGTTCCTTCTTCCTGGCAGCTCACAGACTGATTCATGAAAGCGCCTCTTTGGGGCGGAGGTGGTGCTATAAGTTGTGTCCAGACATGAATTCTTAGTGCTGTGGAGAACAGACCCCCCTCTTGTGTGGACTCTAGAACCTCCTGTGACACTCCATCCCTTGGGGAGTGCCCTGGAACCTCGTTTTCTATCCTTGTGGTCTTACATATAAGGGATAGGTTATGATCTTCTGAAAGTCATTTCTTTTGTCTCCTCAATGCGTAGGAAGGTATGAGAAAGTGTTGTATGGTTGTCACTAAAACGTGCTGTGGGTTTGGGAGGTGTCCTCACACTAGCTCTACAGAAACAATGACAGAGGAGGTAACCGACACCTAGGTGGTGCTGTTGAACCGACATCACCAGCTGGCTGTGTTAGAGGAGTGACCAGAGTTATTTCTGCTGAAAAGGACCTGAGGATTACTGTGGATGAGAAGCCTGGATATGAGTCAACAGGGTGCCATTGTAACCAAGAAGGCTAATGGCATATTAGGCTGCATTAGTAGGAATATTGCCAGATCTAGAGAAGTGTGATTATTCCTCTTTATTCGGCACTGGCGAGGCCACATCTGGAGTATTGCCTCCAATTCTGGGCCCCCATTACAGAAAAAATGTGGATGCATTAGAGAAAGTTCAGTGGAGGGCAACAAAAATGATTGGAGGGTGGAGCACATGACTTAAGGGGAGAGGGATCCGTCCATCCATCCATCCAAAGGTTGAAATGCTGCCAGAGATCATTTGTAAGCCCCCAGACAGTTGCCATAGGTATTTATGGATACATTAGTTATTCAGAGAAATGTTCTTCATGAATCTTCTCCTTAGTCTCCGTCATTTGAGGAATGGTTTGTGTCAACATATATGTCGCCAAGAGCGAATCACAAGCTGTTTGCCACCATTAATACTTCAGGTGTTTCTTGTCTGCAATTCATACTGTGTCATCGCTCACTTAAGTCACATGGTATTTGTTTTTGCTCCCCGATTGGATGACTCTCAAACCCCACAAGGAGCTGTCAAGATGGCTTCAAGAATGCACATGGTGCAAATATTTGTCAGTGCATCTATGACATTTCCTTTTCCTGTGAATGCTGTTTTGAGCAAAATTTCACTTGCACAATGTTGACGAATAGTGAATAGAAGGCATGGCACATTGTGAATGAAAGGCTATGTCAAAATGAGTTGTTAGATTTTGTACAAGCCAGTGCTCACAAGTACAGCCGTATTTGCCAAGTTCTGTTTACAATCTATCAGACATTTCAGGCCTGCATCGGGGTGGGAGAACTGTGTCATTCCTTCATCATTGCAAAAGGACAGGTATAAATTTTCCCTGTTTTCCCCCTACAACTTTTGCATTAGCTGATTCACAAGTTGCTGCATTCTGCATCCACAAGAAAAGAATCTGAGCTCTCCAAGGTACTTAGGTTGGGTATTAGCCACACCGCATTTCACTTTTAAGCAATTACTTGAAGAGCTCCCTTGTGGTTAAAGAATGAAGAAATTTTGTCAGAAACTATAACCTGTGCTTCTTCCCTGCTCCTTCCTCCAGTACGCACACTTGCTTACTCAGAAAGTTTTAGACGCTGGTTTTGATGATGGTCTCTAAAAGTGTGCAATAAGCAAATATGGCATTGGCATGACTCTAAAGAATGCTCAGGGAGGCAGCTGTGTTAGTCTGTAACTTTAAAAACAATGAGCAGTCCTCGTTAGAGACTAACAAATATGTTGTATCATTGCACTTTCATGGGTAAAATCCACTTCATCAGAAAGCTCGTGAGATAATATATTTGTTAGGGTACTTCTACACTGCCCACTTATTTCGAAATAAGCTATTCTGGAATAGTTATTCCGAAACAGTTTATTTCAAAATAACACATTTATGCTGCAGGGAAGTCTCAACATTAGTCTGAGGCAGACTTCCCTAATGTGGATGCGGTACCTGGATTTAGAGCCCCAGGATGCACTGGGGAGAAATAACTTTAGAATGGCCCTGGGGAGAAGCTATTTTGACATAACAGCAGTGGAGCATCCACACATACCTTATTTTGAAATAGCTATTTCCGAATAGGCATTATTCCTCGTAGAATGAGGTTTACAGATTTCAGAATAAGCCATCCGTTATTTCAAAATTATTTCAAAATAACAGAATGGCTGTGTAGACACTCACTTTATTTCAAAATAACACTAGTGATCTCGAAATAATGGTGCAATGTAGATGCACTTTTAGTCTCTATGGTGCCACAAGATTGTTCTAAAGAGTTCCCCTTATTTGTTTTGCAGGACGTTTTCTCCTTTTTGTCTTTGGAGTGTGCGTGTGTGTGTGTGAGCGTGTGTGTAAAAGAGAGAGATTCAGGGCATGCTGCGATCTGCTGCATTAATTGCATCACATATAAGAAGACCGCATCTCCCTCGTGTGCTTTATGTCATGATTAAGATATAAATACAACACAGATATAACACATGGTAACTCAGAGTCTTACTTGGGCAGGGAATGTAGGGGCTATTTTTGTAATAAGGTGGATGGCTGGGTTGGCTATTTGAAAGTGTGTGTTGGGAAGGACTGACAACAGGCCCATGCTGAGGTCAGAGAGGCCCAGGGCAGGAGGCAAATGGGGCCTTTGCTCCAGGGCACTGTCACCAGCACTGGAGAGGCCTAGTCTTGGGGTGCTTATGAGCCAGCTATTCTTGCTGGAGTTAGTGGCAGTTTTATGAGGTGGATACCTCATGCACATTACCATGAGACCCACATTTGTCATTAATTCTCTTCCGTGGATTTCAGTCATTAGTCCAGCCTGCGTAATGGTACCAATTAATAGTGGTGCAGTTGGTAGGGAGTCTGAAAGGGGGATCCATTGTCCAGTGCCTTGCACTGGGAGATGTTTGCTTTTCTGGGGACTGATTAAAAATTGCTTTTCTGTCTCCCCTTCTCTATCTTCAGACTAATGATGCGGCAGGAAATACCTGGAACTGGCTTTACTTCATCCCGCTTATCATCATTGGCTCTTTCTTCATGCTCAACCTGGTGCTGGGTGTCTTATCAGGGTAAGTAAGGCATCATTGACTTGTCTGTCTCCACCTGGCTGCGCCTGCCAACAGCTGCAACATATCGGTTTGGGTGTTATGGGCAGGAACTGGGACAGGCAGGTGACACCCTATACTCAGCATCTTGCTAACCCCTTTTATCTTCCCTGCAATATTATGTCCTTATGAGGCCACCATGCTGCTGTAATCTGAGAACACCAGTAGGGCGGGTGAAAAGTTGGTAGCCAAGACAGCCCAAGTGTGACTCCAGTTGCCAGGGCAAGGGAATTTCATGAAAAACACTGACTTTAGGCCTTGTCTAGCGAATACTTACTGACGTGCTTAACTGTAAGCACATGAGTAGCCCCACTGAAGGCAGTGAGACTACTCAGATGCTTAAAACTAAGCACGTGTGTATGTATTTGTAATGCATTTGGGTATACCTCCTTCTAGTGACTGGCTCCTGTGAGGGTAACAGCCTGCTACTTACTCCTGGGTGATGGCATTACCTTGGCAGCTCATGCAATGATAGAGGCGGATGCCTTGGGTTACTACCACTATGCTGTCTGTGGCCACATCTACACCACAGACAGCTTGGGACAGTGGGTAGGGTATGCGAGGCTGATGCTGCAGTGAACACCAGGTTATGTCCATGCTGAGGTGTGTAGCTACAGGTGTCAGGGGAGGTTTTGGCAGAGGAGAGGCGACGGGGAAAGGCCCCAGAGGGTCACCTCATCGGTTAGATGGAGGAGACGCTGCTTCAGTTGCAGTGGGGGAGGTCTAGGTTGGATAGTAGGAAAAACTATTTCCCTAGGAGGGTGGGGAAGCACTGGGATGGGTTCCCTAGAGAGGGGGTGGAATCTCCATCCCTAGAGGTTTTTAAGTCTCGTCTTGACAAAACCCTGGCTGGGTTGATTGAGTTGGGATTGGTCCTGCTTTGATCAGGGGGCTGGACTTGATGACTCCTGAGGCCTCTTCCAGCTCTATGATTCTATGTGTAGAGAGCTGCGTAGGCCAGCCATATAGCGTGGGGTCCAGATGCCTTTACTTACTTATGTTGTGCCCCCTTGCAATTTA